GATCACTTTTATGTAAAAGAATTATTATATAATATAGATACTCATTACATAAAAGATTGAGATTGAATCAAGTCATGACATAAATAATTAATCTGACAACTTTTTCTCATAAAAACCAAGATTGCAAATGGCCTGAAGGATACATTTTGATTATTTGATAATCCTTTTCTTTGCAAGTCACATTATAAGCCTGGCCTAAGCGGCAGCCCAATGTTAATAGTAGAAGAACATGGAAGAGTAGAAAATTCCAGGGAAAAAGGATGAAGAAAGCGAAATCATATGAAAAATGATTCATCAAAGGGAGAATTCATGCTTCATACACATGCAAGTTGTCACACAAAGAAAGGCTAAACTGCCTTCCGTACCTAAAAATTCAAGCTCCTAATAATGAATACATTAACTGATAAGCCTAAGGCCTTTCATTGGTTGATTTCAGACCTTTGACATTGGATGAAACATGAAGTTTTAAGGTTTCCCTTGATAGGTTGAATATAAAAATGAAAAAAAGAAAAAAAGGACTCCTGTAAATATAAACTTCACCCACATCATTGTAATTTTTTTTTTTTATCTTATCTTTTCAATTCGGAATGATTTGTTTTTATGAATAATTACAGAATAGTAGAAGAACTGATAAGATTGAGTACAAAAGATTAGAGAAAAGAAAATTAGAGATTTGAGTCTACCAAACAAACTCTAAAAGCTTTAGGATAAACAATTTTTTCTTGTTTATAACAGTTGATCATGATCAAAAGGCAGATGTCAGAATTAGCTTAACTACCTTCTAGTTTATTTTGTAAAATACAAATTTATGGCCAATATGTGATGTATCCTCATTTGTAAATGTTAACAAAATTTAATGAACAAGTAGAATCTGTTTCTAATATATAATCTAGCTGTGGCAGTTGGACTAATTGTAGAAATCTTTGAAACAATTCATAAAATCTGAATCTAGAATATATTAAAACACAAAATAAATTCTTTAAGCATTAATGCAATTAATGCTATGCCTTTTGCTGTAGAATAAATCCTTCAAGAATCAGATACTTTCAACAAGAGGATGTTTTGAAATGTAATATGGAGACTCCTTACTAATCTATGAAATATTATTTGCTTTAATTTAAAGATTTTATGATTTTATTCGATAAAAAAATCTTATAAATACGAGTTCAAGTTCTTGCATATATACAATGTTGGATTCTCAGAACAATAAATCAACTCAGGAAAGATTGCTTGCATTATTCATGCTTTACTATTCTAACATTTTGTAGGATTCGAACTTTGAATCATGAAATAAAAAATTAAAAAAAAACAATAAGAATCATTTTAAATTATTGCTCTAACATAAAAATTTAAGCCGATGCATGACAATTTAATCATATAACTTTAAATTTTGTAGCAAAATTTTGGAAGATGAGTAACCTTTGGATATCACAGACATTGTCTAGCAAAATTTTGGTTTCCATGGTCCCCTAGGAACCCCCACTTTCCTACAAATTTGTTACTTTTCTTGCTCCATAATGTGAAGGATGGGCCATGAACCCATAGAATTCAAATTGAATGCTTTATTTAGAATCCTAACAATCTCAAACAGGGGATCAATATTTTGTACTAATTTCTTACCAACCAAACAGAAAAATCAAAGACATTTGATCTGAGTTTGAGTGAATTCAAAGGAGTCAGCTCTGAGTGCTACAGATGACCTAATCTTGCACTATAATTTAATCATCACAGAAAAAATATTATGAGTGATCAAAGATGGGGACAAGAAAATCTGCGTATGTCATTTATGGCATTACTTTAAAAAAAAAAAAGAAGACAAAGATAGAAAAGAATGTGAAGGAAGGGAAGGAACATTATTTGAATGTGGTGATGTATAGTCTCAATCTTATATGAAAAAAACGTATAAATATGATATGATATATATATATTTAAATTTAAATTTGTGAGATTTTTTTATAAGATAAAATCATAAGATTTTTTTATTAAAGTAAATAATATCTTATAAGTTGAATACAAGTATCTACAAATAATATCAAAACAATTATCATTCAAAAGAAATTAAATATTATATTATGAGAGTCATTAAATGTTACACGGTAAAAAGTCACCTTTAGTGTGATATTGATTATATAGTTGGACTTGATAAGAGACATTAAATTTTAAATATGAAAATATTATAACGTCCTAATCACACGTCAAAATCTATGAGTTATTTTTTATAACATCAAATTATAAGATTTTTAGATTAAAATAAATAATATTTCGTAAATTATATGCAAATCCTCAAGGGTGAAGAGAAAAAACAAGTTTGCAAATGTAAAAATAGATGGTCCAAAGAGCCTGGTATTTGTCATGTCAATTTTTTAGTGGGTGACCATTTTCCACAACTGGTTAATGTCTTGTACCCTACCCTTTGGCTCTTTCCTTTGTTGTTTGATTTTGATTTGAGTTTTTGGAATCTGAATTGGAGTTTCTGGTATCAAGTTGGATCCCGTTATCCCTTTTGCAGATATCATATTGTTCTTGTGATCATCATACAAATAAAGCAAAACCCAGTTTTTGTTCTGACTGTACTCTCTTTTGGTTCCTTTGGATGCTTTTGCAGGAGAGAAATATATATGTATTTGACAGCATTAGCTTGATGAAACATATTAATGTATTTTATGGAACTAACAGCCTGTTTCCTCATAACCTCTGCTAAATATCAAGAAAGGATGTTCACCTTAATATTTTCAGTTTTGGGACTTGGGATCTGTAACCTTTTGGCCTAATAGGATCAGTTTCTTGTCCATATTATTTGGTTTTAATGCTATGTTGAGTGATTCAAGCAAACAATAACAATAAGATGAGATAGATGAAATTTGGGGTGATAACTAGCTTTTTTGCTTCATCACTATTCAATCTGTAATTAAAATTATTACAAGTAGTTGAAAGTTTGTAAACATGCAAGCAGAAAACAAAGAAGTGCACGTGTTAACGGATGGTCGGCTTAAGTATCAAGGAGTGTTTTTTCTGTTATTTGGGTTCAAATCGGTTCAGAAATTGTTAAAAAGATAATAAATTTGTCCGAAGAGAGGATGTATCGGGCAAAGACTAGGAATTTCGCTTTACAAAAAAATAAAAAAGGTGTTGCACGTTAAGCATTAGTGAAAGAGACAGCACATAGCAATGCACATCAGAAAAAAAAAAAACCAAAGATAAGGGATCTCCAAAAGAATCTTTCCAATACAGTGCATAAGATCAGGCCATTATCAAAATTATTTTATTATCAAGTTGATAAATTGATTGATGTTAAAAGAATGAGAGTGAAACTTGTCATTCTGACGCCATGAAAGATCAAGCGAGTCCTTAGAATCCGGGTTTTATTCTGTTCCTGCTATCAGGCCAGCTATAGGATTATGCTTGAAGAGCTGTGAATAATAATTGTATAATATAATTCTATGATGTAATGAATTTTGGTAAAGAGATCCAATGCTTGAAAATATCCTGTTAATGACATCAGGTTTAGATGCAGTGAACACAGATTTGAAGGGTACCTTTCGATTAAACAGTGTTCAGAAATTATTTCATAATTGTATACTACAAATGAAAAAGGTTCTTCCTCAGACAATAAACATGTGTCATGCTGCTCAAATTTAAAGTTTCCAATGTCTAATCACAGCATGAAACACAACTTGTTTGGATGGAACTTGTAAAAGTCATAGGTAATACAAATTTATTACAGCAAACCAAACACAACCTTCTGATTAAGGGCCACAATCTGGTTAGGCCGGCCAATATGACTTGGAAAAAAGGGTGGTTTTTTCTTCTGACCTCGTTAAAGTCTTAGAGTCTATCCCAACAGCTGCAATGAATTGAATACAATTGAATTCAAAGTTTGTGGGCATGTCCTAGTTATTTCCTAGGTACCCTTTTGCAAAAAAGGTGGAGGGCTTAAATTCATGGCTGGAGGTTTTGTTTCAGAAATTGGCCTGTTAATTCCAGAATATTCATAAAAAATCCCTGTTGAATATCTTTTTATTTTTTGGTAAGAAAAATCCCGGTTGAATATCTTTGATTCCGTGACTTTTTTCTGTCAAAGTAACCCACAACAGGTGGATTGTTTCTAGCCAGCCACTTGCCAACCTGTGGTCCAGTCCTGCCTGCAATGCAGGCGTGACTGAGAAGACAATCAATGCAAGATTCAGACAAATCAACAATCTTAAGAGCTTATTATTTAAGTGTTGGGTTGTGTTTGATGTTTGGGAGAATGAGACTGACAGAGTGGGTATCTGAAACTAAAAAAATAAAAGAAAAAAACACAGGCAAGGAAAGCTTTGTCCCTGATAATTGCCTTGCCTGTTGGGAAGCATGGATTTGAGAGTATGTTAAAACTGGGAGTTGACTATGCAGTCTCAGTACTCTTACAGCTCATGTTATAGGACTCACTGTAATGCAGGCAACAACAGGACAGCGACTTTTTACTGTAATCACAATTATAGGCAGCTCACCTGCTCTACCAGTAGTACTACAGCCATCTATTTTAAGTAGAATAATAAAGAAAAGGACTATGATTATTGCAGATATTGACATTTCATATCATTATCAATTTTACCAGTTCCACCCTCGAAAGGCCAGTTTGTTCGAGCAGTGAGATGGTTCCTGCACTACTGGGTCATTGGTCCAATTCCTCAAGTAGATCTCAGCAAGGTCCAAAATTCATTGTAGCAGACACTCTGCAATGTGCCAATAAAGTCCATAACCAAAAAACCGTATAAAATGAAGATAAACATTATGAAACATGGGCCTATACAATGACCCAACCATGATAACGTTAATGTCAACAATATAACACCTACAAACAAAAGAATCCAGTTCATCCTTGAAGACCATTGACCGTTCTGCTAACTTTTTCACTTATGGTCTTTGAAGGACGTTGGGTTTAAGACAAGTCTCCTCTTTTAAGTTCAACCAAGAGATTGTAGATGCATCAAAATTGAAAAGTCATAACCATTTAACTGTTTAGGACCAATAGCTTAAATCCGTAGTCAATAAAATTTAGCTCATTAGAATTCCATGCTCCTTCCATCACGGTGTGACAAACCATATGACAAAGTCAAGCTCCTGCAAAGACTTGCACTGAATACTTTTCCTCTTCATCTGGAATCCTGAGGCTAAGGAATCTAGGAGAGGAAGATGGAGAACTCATCAACAGTGATGGAAGGGAGAATAGGATTCTTTGAGATAATCAAAGAATCATTGAAAATCCCCTTCAAAAATCCCAACTTCATTTTGTTCATCTTCCTCACTTCCCTCCCTCTCTTTTGCTTCCTGGTTTTCTTTGAAATTATCCTTCAGCATATACTGATTGAAGCGGGAAAAGTTTTACAAGGAACAGCTGATCCTTTTGGAATATTTGGTGTTGAGCACGAAAGACTAATGGACCTTGGAAACTTGTTAGCGAAAGTTTCTCCTATGGTCCTTCTACTGGGTTTCTTACATCTGGGAACTATCCATTTCCTGGACCTCTTCAACACAATTGCAACTGTGGATGTGGCATCAATAATCTATGTAGGAGAAAAGTCCATCAGTCTCAAGGACATGTTGTGCAGACCTGTAAAGGAAACAAGGTTCAAAGGGCCTCTAATTACATCTATCTGCTCTCTGTCCTTAGCTTTTCTTATTTTACTTGGACTGCTTTCTTTCGCAACATATATGTACATCACATCAGCAGATGTTTTGTTCATGCTGCTATTTATGGTGCTCTCTATAGCTCTATTAGCAAAGTACTTAGAGTGGAGTGCCATTTGGAACATGGGGATTGTGATTTCAGTCCTGGAAGAGAAACAAGGGGATGTAGCATTGTTGGTCTCATCATACCTTAGCAGATTTAACAGAACATGTGGATTTTTCTTAATGCTTGGGTTCTTTGCTTGGAGGCTTGGCCTACGATTTTCTTTCCTCTATGAAGGATGGAACAATGGAGGAAGTAGCCTTGTGGTAACAGCAATCCATATCAGCCTTGTTTGCTTGGCAAACTTGTTGAAGTGGGTAGCCATCATGGTCTACTTCTATGATTGTAAGAAGCAAAATTCCTATCAGAATACCGATGTGGAGGAGGCAAAATCCAGGAATGACTTGCAGGGAGGGCCTATCTAATAATTTCTCATGTATAAGTTTTGGCATTTTTATATATACATAATTGACATGTTTTTACATGGAATTATTATTAGAAAAGCTTGATCAAGAAATTTGATATTCTAGTTCATACTCTTATTGATCTATGTTTGTAATATTCCCAAATTGAGCAAAAACGAATCTATAATTGTCAATAAATTTTCCTTTTGGTACATAATTGCCTATAAATTTCACTGCAGAAATTATTGTTAGCCGTTTGCCTTGTCATTAAGCAACATGAACATGAAATGCTGGATTATGATTGCCAATTAAATCAACTCGAGCCATCGGGTGCCTGAAATCAATTAGAGGGCCCTCGGTAGAGCAAAGCATAAGACCAATCACCCAACAGCAAGTTCATTGCCGACTCAAAATCATCAAAATTAAAATATTCTGCCACTTTGGCTGCAGGCACAGTTGTCCAAGCATAGTTGACAAACAATCTTTAAATATTTGGCGACAGTTTGACACAATTTCTTCAATGCTACGCATGTGAAGCCACAAACTCAATGCCTGAGAGCAAACCACACCTCCTGGGCGCAGGGCCTTTGCTACTAACTCAAAGAAATTATGGCGTCTTAAAAAGCTCTGTGCAGGCCCTGTATAATGATGGAAACACAAGGTTTTGAAAGAAACAACAAATTTTGAGCTTGCCTAAGAGTACAAGTAAATAACAGAAGACAGAGGAGACTTATCAATTGGATTAGAAGAATCAGCTACAATGGCATCATAGGTACCCTGGGGAGCAGATTTTAGGAATTCTAATTCCTGCAAGATTTTAAAGGGTAAAAACCACTGAACAAATGGAAGACACATAAGAGCAAGGACATAAGACAGCATATGGTACCATCACCGAAATGGAGATTAACACATGAATCCTCATATATATCCAACAGCCAAATCTGGGAAAAATCGCTTTGCGAATTGTGAAAAAGGGGGAGGGGGGGGGGGGGGAAATGAATGTCAGGCAGCAATCTGATATACAGGCACACAGTTGCATTGTCAGGAAAAGAGTTTCGGCTCTAAATTGCACATTTTTCTCCTTTTTTCTAACTTTAACAAGAACATGTATTTGCTCACATCAATCTAGCATAAACTTGCCAATCTTTTATATATGAGAAAAAAAATGAAGACGGTGTGCAATTTACTCACATCAGCCACCATAGCATCTATTTCACATACATCTATTTACTTAATGGAAATACAACGAGACACTTCCATCATCCCCACAATGCTAATTGTTTTGAGGGTTTAATGGGAATTTGATATTGAGTTTGATCCTTTTTAGCATAAATGCTAAGGCAGCTAACATTGTAAGTTGAGTTAGCCAAAAATATGAACTCTCACATTACATGTCACTTGACTAACTATAGTACACGCGAAAAATGGGAGAGAGAAATATAGAAGCAAAAACATTTAGCAAATAAGCCTCCGAGCTTTAATGCATTTTTATTTGGTTTCCCGTAAATCTCTCGTCTCTTTCTTAACCAGTTTTCTTCTTCCCCTCTCTCTCAAACAACTTTACTTTGCATGCTTTTGCATTGTCAACACCGTCGTCGCCGTCTTTTTTCTTTTCTTTCCTTTAATTTTTCTTATTAAACGTATTTGATATTTTAGAGTACATTGTTTAACTTTATAACCTTCCATTTCTAACCCTATCTCTTTCACTGCGGAGTTCGTGTAATATCGGAATCCGCAATGGAAGATGAAGAGAATATATTTACCTTCCTCCTCTTCCCTTCCTCGTCCTCCACCACCTTCCACCGCCAACGCTCCTACCGACTTCCTCCTCCTATGGCGCTACCAGATTTTCGACCCGGATAGCGACATAATTTCCTACTGGAACCATGTGTTCTTGATCATTTGCATTATGGCTCTGTTCATAGACCCTCTCTACTTCTTTCTCCCTTATGTTGGAGGCCCTGCATGCTTGGAATCCGACGCCAATATGGGGTTGTCATCACGGTTTTGAGGTCTATGGCTGATTTTTTATACCTTTTAAATATGCTCATGAAGTTTAGAACCGCATTTGTCGCGCCAAATTCCAGGGTTTTTGGAAGGGGTGAGCTTGTTATGGATGCGAAGGAGATTGCAATGCGGTACTTGAAGTCCGATTTTCTCATTGATCTTGCAGCTACCCTACCACTACCTCAGGTTATTCTTCTTCCTTGACGTTCACTTCATTTAGATGGTAGTTTCAATGATAAAATGATATGATAACATGGTAAGAATCCTTTTTCACCGGTGATCCAAATGAAGCAGTTGTATATAGAGTAAGTGATATTCTTCTTGAATGATACTAAATGGTCTTAATTATTTTATATGCTACTTAACTGGGATAGAATGAGAAGCTAGCCTTTTATAGTCTTCAGTTTTGTTTTGTTTTCCTATGGCTTAGATTTTGTAACTTTTTCCATGTAGTTTGTCATCTGGATTGTGATTCCAACCGCAAGAAGCTCCAGAACTGATCATGCCAACAACACTGTTGCTCTTATTGTTCTCCTTCAATATGTTCCAAGGTTGTTCATTATTTTCCCTCTTAATCGAAGGATCATTAAAAGTACAGGAGTTGTTGCTAAGACTGCTTGGGCAGGAGCTGCATACAATCTTCTTCTTTATTTACTTGCCAGTCACGTAAGCATCCTATTACTTCTTTGTTTGTAATTTTATTTTCCGTACTTCATTACATTCAATTGGTTCCATCTCTTGACTGTTGGTGTAGGTATTAGGAGCAATATGGTATTTGTGTTCCATAGCAAGGCAATTTTCCTGCTGGAAAACGGAGTGTGCAAGAGAGAATGCCTTAAATTTATTGCTTGCATCCCAAGTTTCCTAGATTGTAATAGCTTGTCAGCACCTGAGAGGCAATATTGGGCAAATATTACTAATACACTTGCTAACTGTGACGCCAGGAACAACGATATTGATTTCAAATTCGGAATGTTTGCAGATGCTTTTACTAATGATGTTGCTTCCAAGAACTTTGTTATAAAGTACTTGTTTTGTCTTTGGTGGGGTATAAAAAATCTAAGGTATGATCTCAAGTTATGGACGTTCAAATGGATCATTTCCCTTGCCCCAATCTACATAGTAAAATTCTTTTTATTAGGCAAGTACTTAGGCACTATCAAAAGGTTTCATGCCAGAAGGAAAACTACTTATAATGGAATTCAGTATTGAGGAATTTTTTTTCCTTTTTTAGTCTGACATATTTTACCACTAAATGAATATGTTTATTATGCATTAATAGTTTCTTTCAACTTCATGCTTATATATATCCATGTTATTTCTTAATTGGAAGTTCATATGGGCAAAATTTGGAGACAACCATATATATTTGGGAGAATCTGTTTTGCATTTTTATATGTAATTTTGGATTGATTCTGTTCTCACTGTTGATTGGCAACATGCAGGTATCTAATATGCTAATTCCTTTGCTGCTTTCTCATTCTTATAATTCTAGTTGTTGCAGCATAATTTGAACTCTAACAACTTTAGCCTACCAATATTCTATTTGTTTTGGCATCTAACCTTAACCTATATCAGGATTAATAGTTGGAATTATTAGCTTGAATGAGGATGATAGTGAAAAACCGATGGTGATGTAACAAGATTTTCCTTTTTCCTTGAAGAGACGTCTTTCCGATCAATGACAGTAAGGATCGAGGAATGGAGAGTTAACCGAAGAGATACAGAGGAATGGATGACGCATCGTCAGTTACCTGAGGATTTGCAAGAACGTGTTCGCCGGTTTGTTCAATACAAATGGCTTCCTACGAGAGGAGTTGACGGAGAATCTATATTACAATCATTACCTTTGGATCTTCGTCGCGAAATTCAACGCCATTTATGCATTTCCCTTGTTCGACGTGTATGTAAATCTTGGTACCTTATCTTGTTATGCATTCATTTCTACTATAAAATCATTAAAAGAATCAATTTACTCCAGCAATTAGCTATATGATCACTTTCTAGGTAACCATTTTAATTGGCTAGGTTCCATTCTTCTCACAAATGGATGATCAACTTCTTGATGCCATATGCGAGCGTCTTGTCTCATCTTTGAGTACTAAAGGCAACTATATTGTCCGAGAGGGTGATCCAGTCAATGAGATGTTATTTATCATTAGAGGGCAACTTGAGAGCTCTACAACCAATGGAGGAAGATCAGGGTTCTTCAATTCCATCACCCTTAGGCCAGGTGACTTCTGTGGAGAGGAACTGTTGACATGGGCCTTGATGCCAAACTCTAGTCTGAATCTACCCCTTTCAACCAGGACAGTCAAAGCCGTTTCTGAAGTTGAAGCTTTTGCACTCCAAGCTGACGACCTACAATTTTTCGCACATCAGTTCAAACGACTTCAAAGTAAACAGCTCCAGCATGCCTTTAGGTACTATTCTCACCAATGGAGGACATGGGGTGCATGCTTCATACAAGCAGCCTGGAGAAGGTTTAAAAAGAGAAAGATGACAAAAGAGTTGATTGCAAGAGAGGGTAATTTTTACTACTTGTCATTACCTGACCAAGAGAATTACTTCATTGATGACATGAAAGATGGACTACATTACGATGGGGAAGAGAAAATTGGGATGACAACCACAGATAGCCCAAACAGTTATCAGCATATTGGAGCCACAATTTTGGTATCAAAGTTTGCTGCAATACTAGAAAAGGGTCTAACAATCCTAAGGTTGTTGTGATTGATTCTCCTTCTAACAGTTTAAAGATGCCCAAGTTGTTTAAACCAGATGAGCCTGATTTCTCCCTAGACCATATTGAAGATGTATAAATAGACTAAGAAAACTAGATAGAAAATTTCCATAACATGACTTGTGTAAATTTTACTTGTAGAATAGGATTTCAAATCACATTCTCAACTCTTTGGTGTTGATTTCTTCATTCATACATTGATACTGTGCTACATTATTTTTCAATCTATAACTGAAATAAAGTGTTTTTGAACTTTATTGTTGAGGGTTCATTTGAATTGGTGATGAGATTGATTCCGATAAAATTAAAAATAATAATAAAAGTTATTATAATTGTGATTAAAAAAAAGTTACTGTGATTAGGATTGAAAAAAAATTCAGTAAAAATTTATATCGAATGAATTTCATTAAAATTTATATTTAAATTCAATTGATGGTGATTAGAGCCCAAATACTTCTTATTAGAGGATGTAATTAATTTCAAAATTCAAGGAATTTTAGATACTTTAATTTCAAAAGTTAGATTATGTCCTAAATTGGATTGTGTAGGCAGTTAGATTTAATAGCTTCATGAGTATCAAAATCAACTAAAACCCTACTTTGATATCTTGTCCCAATGGAAAAGGAAAAACTACATCCTTGCCATAATCCAAAATTACCACCCAAAAATTAAGAAGTATCAGAAAATTTATCTAGCGTGAATCACAATTTTGTTAAGTATGAACAAATATTATGTATAACATACATATATTTTTATCCTATGTAGTTTATTTTTATGACGTATGAACACTGCCATGTCACTTTATTTTTGTTACATTTTGATCCTTTCAATTGCCATGTCAGCTTCTTCTTTTTTTTTTTTTACATGTTATCAAGATTTACATAATAACATTTAATCTAATATTAATCTATACTTTGATTATTTATGAACTTAGATATTTATAAATTTATAATATTTATAAACTCAATTAATTGTGAATAAATGTACATTTCGTGTCATCTAAAATTTTAAATCTAAATTCATATTTACTATTAATAAATTACAAAATGAATAAATTTAAACATTCATAAATTTAATCATTCACGAATTCAATTTGTTATACTTTAATTAAATTTTTTATATATTTCAATGTTAAAATAATTAAGAAAAACCTGCAACAATGTCTTAGATGTGACACTAGTATTGATAAAATAATATCTAATGTCAACAATTATTCATTTGGAAATTCATTGATGCATAAACTAAAACAAAGACTTTGTAATGATACAAAATCAATAATTTCTATTTTTACAATGAATTAAAACATAAGAAAATCAAGTTGAAATATAACAAATTTGATTTGTTTTAGAGTATTTATATTATTAAATAGATATGCTAAAAACTAAAGTACTTTAAACAGTAAATATATTCATCCACAGTCATAGATATAATAAATTTATGAATGATTAAATTCATGCAATTTAGATTTCAATCATGATTATTTATACTATTCAATAGTATATATAAATATACACTCAAAATATTAAATTTAAATGACATTAAATACGAAATATATTTATTCATAATTAATTAAATTTATAAATATTATTAAGTCATAAATAATTAAATTCGTAAATATTTAAATTCGTGCAACTTAAAATAAAAATATCATTAATTAATAATATCCATAAACTCTAATGCAAACCTTACAATTATGTCTTGTAATTCGACCGATACATCCCTTAAAAATTTCCGCAATGAACCCAATTAATTCAATCTAATAAAAATCTCACAATAAATAAATTAAAATATTAATAATTATTATATATAGATTTAATAAAATAAAAAAATATTTTATATTTTTATATCAATGTAAATTATGATATGTAATTTTTATATAAATATAATATAAATATATAAATTTTAATATTTTATATTATACAAATATATAAATAATCTCATCTACAAATGGTATATAAGCCCAATTCTTTCTATTTTTCATTTTTCTTTTCCTTTTTAAGTTTATTCCTATGCTAAACCACGTAGCATTGGATACGTTAAAACACCCTAAAATTTTATTTTTCTAATTATTAAATTTAATGATTAATTTATAACTTCAATAAAGTGTTTTTTAACTTTATTATTGATGGTCCATTTGAATTGACGGTGAAATTATTTTTAATAAAATTAAAAATAATAATAATTATTATTATAATTATAATTAAAAATTATTATTATAATTACGATTAAAAAATAATAAAAAATTTATATTAAATGAATCTCATTAAAATTTATATTTAAAATCAACCAATGATGATTAGAACTTACATATACCTTACTGAAGGTGTAGTTGCATCCAAACATTCACGAGTTAATATCAAAATTCAAGGAATTTTAGATACATTAATTTCAAAAGTTAGATTATATCCTAAACTGGATTGTGTAGGCTGTTAGATTTAATAGTGTCATGAGTACCAAAATGAACTAAAACCCTACTTTGATGTCTTGTCCCAATAGAAAAGGAAAAACTATGTCCTTGCCATAATCCAAAATTACCACCCTAAAATTAGGAAGTATCAGAAAATTTATCTAACTTAGCGTGAATCACAATTGTGTTAAGTATGAACAAATTATATATATATATATATATATAGATATATATAAAATATAATATAATATAACAACATATATAAACAATTTTGTCACATGAATATTTACATGGACAACTTTCTTAAATGATAGATAAGATATTTTTGAAAAAAATAAGATAATTTCTTTTAATTATAAATTAGATAATTTTAAATTTATTTAAATATCAAAATTATTTAAATTATAATTTAAAATCAAATTAATTTAGAGATATATTTTTTAAAATTAAAAATATAAAAATATGGATTTTATTTCTTTTAATAAATAATTTTAGTTGTTTATCAAAAAACTTTATTTAAAAATTATTTAATTATCAAAATCTTTCAAACATTTTTAAAAATTACAAAGATTAAGTTTATCTAAAATTTTCAATAATATTTTTTATCTTTATTTAAAAAATCATGTTTTAAAAAAATTTATATAAAACATTAAAAATTCAAGTAACTTTATTTAAGATTTTGAAAATTCAAAAAAATTTCATCTTAAATTTTGAAGTAATAAGATCATCAAAATAATTATATCCATTTGAATCATAATTATCAAATTTATATTTTAAATAAATATAAAAATTTTAATATTATTTTTATCACTTATTATATCCATTTTAACTTTTAAAAAATTAATTTAAAAATTATCTATTTAGTCCTAATTACCACTAAAGAATTCTTCTATAAATTTAAGACTATAAATATAATGTTTTATACATAAATTTTTTTATTTTTTCAATAATTTTTTTCAAGATATATTCTATTACTAGTGCAAATTGTTTTTTATAACTTTTTTTCAATATATATTTTATTGTTATTACAGTTTTATTATTATGAAAAAAAAATCAATTTATTTTTGCACCTATTTTCTAATTTTTTTCATATTTTGCATAATAATTTAGTCAAGATTACTAAAGTAAATGTATGTTAATACTTCTTTTATTATTTAATTTATCATTCAATAATATATATTTTTATTTTTAAAAAAAGACATAATTTATTTTTATTTGATATAATCTTACAAATGTATAAACATTATTATAAACAAAAATATCCAAAAGAAATACATAATTTTTTTCTTATTATTTTTAAAAAATTTATTTTTTAATGACAAATCACTATATATAAATTTTATATACGTTAGGAGTTTTAAAGATTTCAATATAATTTTGAAAAGAAATTAATTTTTGTTTGTGTATATCTATATTCACATTAAACAAGTAAAATTATTTCATGTATCGTACGAATTATAATATAATATTATATATAATATACATATATTTTTATCTCGTGTAATTTATTTTTTTGACGTATGAATACTGTCATGTTAGTTTATTTTTGTCACATTGTAATCCTTTTAACTGCCATGTCAGCTTCTTCTTTTTTTTTTTACATGTTCTCAAGATTTACATAATAACATCTAACCTAATATTAATCTATACTTTGATTATTTATGATCTTAGATATTTATAACTTTATAATTTTATAAACTCAATTAATTGTAAATAAATGTATCTTTCGTGTTATTTGAAATTTTGAGTCTAAATTCATATTTATTATTAATTAATTACAAAATAAATAAATTTAAATATTCATGAATTTAATCATTCATAAATTCAATTGATTGTGATTAAATGTATTTAGTATTTAATGTAATTTAAGTATAAAATATTTATAAAATAATATAAAATTTACATAAATCAAATCATATTGATGTTAACTTATTTGACTCAACAACATAAATTATATTACCTCCAAATCATTTCACGAAGAATTTCTAGAAAAAACGAAAGAAGAAATAAGATATAACTCAATACTATATCAAACTTTTCCTTATATTATTATAATGAACATAATTTCTTATGTTATCAATTTAGAAATTATGATTTATTGTTATACTTTAACTAAATTTTTTATATATTTCAATGTTAAAATAATTAAGAAAAACCTGCAACAATGTCTTAGATGTGACACTAGTATTTATAAAATAATATCTAATGTCAACAATTACTCATTTGGAAATTCATTGATGCATAAACTAAAACAAAGACTTTGTAATGATACAAAATCTATAATTTCTATTTTTACAATGTATTAAAACATAAGAAAATCAAGTTGAAATATAACAAATTTGATTTGTTTTAGAGTATTTATATTATTAAATAGATATGATAGAAACTAAATTATCTTAAACAGTAAATATATTCATCCACAGTCATAGATATAATAAATTTATGAATGATTAAATTCATGCAATTTAGATTTCAATCATGATTATTTATATTATTCAATAGTATATATAAATATACACTCAAAATATTAAATTTAAATGACATTAAATACGAAATATATTTATTTATAATTAATTAAATTCGTGCAACTTAAAATTAAAAAAAAATCATTAATTAATAATATCCATCAACTCTAATGCAAACCTTACAATTATGTCTTGTAATTCAATCAGCGATCCCTTAAAAACTCCTACAATGAACCCAATTAATTAAACCTACTAAAAATCTTCCAATAAATACTCTAAACGCAAAAGATCGTTAGAAGTGTGTTTACAATATGAAAATACTTTTTTGGACGATAAAAATATTTTTTATCTTTATAACTTTAAATTTTTATTATTTAATATGTCTTTTTGGATATTTAATACACCAACAGTATTTTTTTTAACATCAATATTAAACACTTAAAACTTTTTTAAATACATTTTTAACGAAACTTTTAAACACATTTTTTAAAACCAGAATTTTTTCAAAGAAATAATAATACGATTAAACTAAGCTCAAAATCAATATCAGAGAATTTTAAAATAGCTAAGACCGTATAAGTTAACCTATAAATTTAAAACATTACTCAAATACGATATAAATAAAAAATACGGATATAAAATGATTTAAAATATTAATAATTATTATATATAAATTTAATAAAATAAAAAATATATTTTATATTTTTATATCGATATAAATTATTATATAAAATTTTCATAATATATAAATTTGAGTATTTTATATTATATAAATATATAAATTATCGCACCTACTAGTGGTATATTAACCCAATTCTTCTATTTTTCGTTTCTCTTTTCCTTTTTAAGTTTATTCCTATGCTAAACGACGTAGCATTGGATTCATAAAAACACCCTAAAATCTCATTTTCTCCCTTATTTTTCTTCTCAACCGCCACTCACTCAACTATCCGCCAGTGCCCTTCTGTTGCCGGCAGCCGACCTCTCCTCTGTTTCCTCAGTTCCTCCCTCATTTTTCTAAGTGGTTTTTCAAGTTTGCTTTGCTTGCTCTTCTTAATTTATTTCCTCTTTGAATAGAATAAACAACAAATTTCCTGATTTTTTGTTTTTAAGCTGAGTTTGAATTGTTTCATCAAAGATTGTTCTCTTAAAGATGGTGTTGTAGACATGATCAACAATTAGACTTTTTCACTTCACCTCCAAGGCTTCAACGATTCATAAACAGTTGCTTTGGTAATACAATGGAGGGAGTGCGATACGCTTCCTTTACGAGCTTCGCAACAACCAAATCGTCGTCTTTTTCGGCTCTGTCACCATCGTCTATCATAATACTCCGCCAAAAGCCTCACAAAAAGGCTTTAAAATCAATATCTCATAGAAATCTTGTTATCTCTGCTTCATCTGCTTCAAACTCTGGTACTTTCTCTCATAAATCTGTTTCTAATTCTGGTTCTCAATAATATATATATATATATATAATTTTTTATTCTGTTTTTCAATTTCTTTTGGTGTTTTTTTGAGGTTCAGTTGTGACGTTGCTTGATTATGGAGCTGGAAATGTTCGGAGCGTGAGGAATGCTATTCGCTATCTTGGCTTTGAGATAGAGGATGTAAGCCGTTTTAGCTTCCTTTTTAAGTTTAATTGCTTTTCATTTTAAGTTTAATTGCTTTTCAAAAAAGGATGCATAGTGAGTAATAAATGTGTTATTTCTTTTGAATTAAAATGTAGGTGCGAACTCCAAAAGACATTTTGAATGCAGAGCGCCTTATCTTTCCTGGTGTTGGGGCATTTGCTTCAGCCATGGATGTATTAACTAAGACCGGGTATGAGTTTTTTTGTGAATTTTTTATGAAAATAATTATTTAGAGCAGCTCTCTTTTTGTCATTTGAACTTATTTTTAGAAGTATTTGTGATGTTCTCCAATGGGGATACATGGATTTTGGACTTGGAAGAATTATTATTGGAGAATTTCTTGCATTACCGATCTTCTTGCTGATATGAATGTGCAATGTTATGAACCTTAGGTTTGACTTCTAAGAAACCTATGAGTGGGGGGTTTCGTCTCTTCTGCTTTTATACTTGATTTATTTTAGGAATTCAGGTAAGAAAATTGACAAAAGCCGGAATGATCTATCTATCTTACATCATAGGAGAGGTTTCTGATCATTCTCCTTTTACTTGTGTACTCTGGGGAGATTTTGATTCTTTAATTCTTTTTCCTATTTGTGTGTTTCAAATGGCTTGTGGAAACACTATTTATAGTGAGAGAGTTCTGTAATAACTTGTCTTTTTTATTTTATCTAAATTATTTTAATTTAATTAGAGATAAATATAATGACTCATAGATGAAATCTGATTGGATGATCTTTGAGCTTTTGAAATTTGATTGGGCAATCATGTGTCTTTATCTTGATTTGCCCGATGGCTTGAAAAACTTTAATTAATTTATTTAGCATCACTAAATAAAATTTAAAGAAAAGTTTGAAGCATATGTCACTTTGTAATTGGCTGAAAATTTTTCTCCTACAAACCTTTTAATGATAGCTGATTACCTCTTTTGTTTAGGTTATAATTTAACTTCTTAGTTAAATTTTCAGTTTGGAAGTTTTCATTTGTCATTTTCTACAGGATGGCTGAAGCACTATGTACCTATATAAAAAATGATCGCCCATTTCTAGGCATTTGTCTTGGACTTCAACTACTCTTTGAGTCGAGTGAAGAGAATGGACCAGGTCAATTTCCAAATTCCTGTTTTTTTGTAAATCCTTGAAAGACCTATATATATAGATATATGTTATATTATATTATATTATATTAGCGAAAAGATCTATATATATATATATATATATTAATGATCAGGATGTGAAAAAATTCTACTCTTGTAGAGTATATGTCATGACTATTTTCCTGAATATATGTTATGTTTATATTATGTGGTTTAATGAGCGTCTTTTTTGGTGTTTTAAATCTCAGTTCTTATTTTATTTTATATAAATGGCTTAAAGAAGAGGTGTAGCATAAGAAGAAAAACGAATCGTGTAAGAAGAAAAAGGAATCTGCTGGAGAAAAAAGAGAAACCAATTAGTCTTCATTTGGCAAATAGAGAAAATTTTGGATTTTTTTGTAGCATGTTTTCATTTCTTTTCTAGTTCTTAACTTTTCAACTTGACTCCATGGATTACTTTTGTTTCAGTGAATGGACTCGGCTTGATACCTAGTGTGGTTGGGCGGTTCAACTCTTCTAATGGTTTTAGAGTACCTCATATTGGCTGGAATGCTTTGCAAGTTGCAAAAGACTCTGAAATTTTGGATGACATTGGTGATCACCATGTCTACTTTGTTCACTCTTACCGTGCCATGCCAGTATGCTCTTGTCAACTTCTTAATTTGTTTATCACACTTGTTTATTACGTGCCTGTTGCAAAAACTTTCCATAAGCATATTTTGTGCTGTTTGGTAACCTATGGTCTCATATATTTGGTAGTCAGATGATAACAAAGAATGGGTTTCATCTACATGCAATTATGGTGATGATTTTATAGCATCTATCAGAAGGGGAAATGCGCATGCAGTTCAGTTCCATCCAGAGAAAAGTGGAGGCGAGATATTTTGTGCTCTTAGTAGTTATCTTTTTGTCTTTGCATGTTTCAAATTTCAAAATCTACAAGTTTCTTCCTGTTGATATTGGGAATGATTGTCACATACATATCTTCACTGAACAATGTCGCCCTCTAAGATTGTCATCTTCTAGTTTTTTGTGTTTGTTCAAGAAAAAAAAAAAAGCTAATTATAACAATCCTATTTATGATATCGACATGAGTACATGAAGAGCATCAAAGGGGGAATTTTTAAGGTGTTTATCCTGGCTTAGGTAGTTGGTTCCTCTGTATTTTATTCTAATATAATTACTTGGTCTATCTGATTATTGGACAATTTTCTTTGCAAACATCATTTTTTTTCTTTTCAGAACAAAGTCAGACATAATAGCTAACCTGTTTATTGACAATTGATTTGTGGATAAAATTGTTTCAGATGTTGGTCTTTCTGTATTGAGAAGGTTCCTAAATCCAAAGTCACAGGGGACAAAGGTAGTCTTTGTATCCTTGGTTTTAGTTCATCTAGTAACTTTTATCAACTTTTATTTTCATCCATCTAATGATCTGAATGAGTTGCTTGACTACAGAAGCCTACTCAGGGGAAGGCTTCAAAACTTGCTAAGAGGGTAAAAGTTTCTGATACTCGAACTATTTTGCATATTATTAATGGTTTTATTTTCTATGCACCTACTTTTCTTTCAGGTTTTAATTACATAGCTCTAAATGAGAACTTTGACATGTTCTGCTTGATTTTGTGGTTCTTATGGCTAATGACTCTATGCTGAGTGATATTACTTCCATTCAGGTGATTGCTTGCCTTGATGTTAGGACTAATGACAAAGGGGATCTTGTTGTAACCAAAGGAGACCAGTATGATGTAAGAGAGCACACAAAAGAGAATGAGGTAAGCCAGAGGGGGTCATACATTGCTCTAATTCTTTGATCTCTTTGATTTTAGTTTTAGCTTGGTGGATGCCTAAATCAAATTCTAATTTTGCAAATCAATGCATCATAATTACCAGACATGTCAAAAGGGGGATGAACCCTTAGATATGAGAGGATATAAGAGTTGAATTACTTTGTAACACATGCTTGTTTTCCTCTTGATCTCCTGTATTATGTTTAATCTTGAGAACTTGTATTTGGATGCCATTTTAACTCATCAGAAACTTTTATAGGTGAGAAACCTTGGCAAGCCAGTAGAGCTTGCTGGACAGTATTACAAAGATGGGGCTGATGAGGTATGCTTTTAGATTCTAGGCGTTTTATGTTTATATTGCAATATTGGCAATCATTTGGCCTCTGCTGTGTTTCTTTTTATACCTTGAATTATTGATTTCTTTCATGCTTTAAATTTCAGGTCAGTTTTTTGAACATTACTGGCTTCCGTGACTTCCCATTAGGCGATTTACCAATGTTGGAGGTTTTTGACATTTAATTATGAATATATTTTGACATAGCATTTTTAATTTATTCTTTAGTGTTTGAATGTTTGCATATTTATGTGTATTTGTACTAATTTCTGTTCTTTGCAGGTATTAAGACACACTTCAGAAAATGTTTTTGTCCCACTAACTGTTGGAGGTGGTATACGAGATTTTACAGATGCAAACGGCAGGTCTGCTTCTGTTTTATACTGTGATCTAGTTTTCATATATCTTAAGATTAAGACAATTTCTTTTCAAGTGATTTATTAGACATTCCCTGATACTGCCGTATTCGGTGTTCTTTGTGTAATTAACCAGCACAATTTTGTAAAATTTATTATATATATTTTTTCAGGCACTATTCTAGTTTGGAAGTTGCTTCAGAGTATTTTAGGTCTGGGGCTGATAAAATTTCCATTGGAAGTGATGCAGTTTATGCGGGAGAAGAATATATAAAAACCAAAGTATGCAGTTTCACCTTATTAAAATTTGTAACTTGTTAAGATGGTTAGACGTGCATATGTATCGCTACTAATAGTTCTGTAAATTCTTGTTTTAGGTAAAGACGGGAAATAGCAGCTTAGAACAAATTTCTAGAGTTTATGGAAATCAGGTGATTCCTATTATTGTTTTTGATTTGTTGATGCCCGTACTAATATATATCCATGTATATTTGTTAATCTTCACAACTATATGCATACTTTGGGTTCTAGCTGATTGTGAAGTTTTTGCTACTTCTTGCATGATATTTACTTTAAAATTATATACAGAAATTAATCTTTTAGAGGAAAAATAAATGTTAAAGAATAAAAGTAACTTACAAATTATAGATGGTTGGATGAGAGAATTTAAAATGTATATATATTTGGTTGGGCCTGTATGATGAATTTTTCATTGTTTTGGTTTATATGTTAATTTAGTAACATGCAAGCTAGAAAAAACAGATGAAAGTTGTAAGACTTTTTCTTCATTGGAAGCATAGGCAATTGGTGAGGAAAGTATTCTGTGCTGGCAATATTCAATACTTCTTTTTTTTCCCCGTTGGAGCAGTAGATCATGCGTTTTACCCATACAACTGTAGTCAGTTTTGGTGCTAATTTTTCTGTTACTTAATGTAAGCCAATTTTCAATTTATTATGTTGGCTACTTGCTTGATTATACATGCATTATCTAGAATGGGTTTGTTATGAGTTGATTGAATTTTTATTTAACAGGCTGTTGTTGTAAGCATTGATCCTCGTAGAGTGTACCTTAAAAGTCCTAATGATGTGCAATTCAAGACTATAAGTGTCACAAAACCAGGTAAAGAAGATTTTATTGTTTTTGGGTTTATCATTCATGTGAAATTTACATTGTGTCTTGGAAACTCCCGCTGTGCGTGGATGAAAGGTAGAAAAAATTTCTAAAGACCTGTTTCAAGAAATTTTACACTTTTAGATTTCACAAGGATTGTTAATTAGAACATGCCTTTTTGGTGTCAGGTCCAAGCGGAGAAGAATATGCTTGGTATCAGTGTACGGTAGTTTTCTTTGCTCGTTGCCTTTTGCATGATAATCCATAAAGCATTTATCAAGATAAACATTTTAAAACTAGTGGTAAAATTAGATCTTATACAAAGCAAGCGAATACCTCACGTAGAACCAAAAAACCCATCAATCGCTTAATTCCCACGTACAAATATTAATCACAACCACTCAAAGGCACTCTTAAAACTTAGGACCCAAATGCTGCAATCAATACCCATTCATGTTAGCACAATTATGTGTTTGCACATCAGTGAGTGATCAGCAGCTTAAGTAGGGTTTTTTTTTTTTTAATATCTAAAGCAAGTGTATGGGTATAAAGATGGAGAGAGAGAGAGAGAGAGAGAGAAGTAGCCAAACATAGGTTTTATAGGGAAAGAAGAATAAGAAACAAGGGAGGCGCATATATTAACTTTGTGTAATCATATAAAAGCTTGAAAACTAGATAAAATCTCAATGTGCAAACCAAGCAAAAGAAAAGTTGAGGTAGGAAAAGAAAATTAGCTTGAAGGTGGAAACTAAATAAATAGCATCTAAGCAACACTCAAACCCATTGATTTAGAAGGAAAACACATGATAAGAAAGATGTCGGCAATGATAAACTAATACCATCTCCAAAATGTGGTGCTTTGCCTGGCTTTCGAACTTTGGAATTACAGCTGGCACAGTTCATGTACAATCCATTGGAACCTTCAGCTGTTGGAATGGGAGAAGAAAGATCTTAAATAACCAGGACAAAATACAATAAGTCTTACTTCTGAAATATAACCAGAGTTTATGTATACATGATTAAATAATCATTGCTTTACTGCTTATATTTCAAAAGTCTTTATCTTATGCGTATCTTGAATGGCTTACTGTTCCTAAGGTTAATGGTGGACGAGAAGGTCGACCAATTGGAGCTTATGAGCTTGCAAAAGCAGTTGAAGAACTGGGAGCTGGAGAAATACTATTGAACTGCATTGATTGTGACGGTACAAACAACTTTCTCGTCACTCAAACATTGCACCCTTTTAAGTAATTGTTTCCAGTATGACATTACTCTTTTTTCAGATAATTGCTTTGAGAATTACAAGAAGAGTCTCTTTTACATTTATAACCGATGATTAATTGCTATTGGGAATACCCATCCTGAGTATGCCAGTTTTTTCTGCTAAATAAATTAATGTCAAAGCTTTGTGGCTTCAGCCTAATGTTATCAAGATTGCCCATGGGCATCAAAATGATGGAAGATTTAATATTATATAGTTGTGATTTTGCCATTTAGTTTACTCCTAAATCCTGGTTTTTTCTTTTGTTTGTTTCAATGCATACTTTTTTGCAGGTCAAGGAAAAGGGTTTGATATAGATTTAATAAAGCTGATATCAGATGCTGTAAGCATCCCTGTAATTGCAAGTAGTGGTGCTGGTGCTGTTGAGCACTTCTCGGAGGTATTCGTGAAAACAAATGCATCAGCAGCTCTTGCTGCTGGCATTTTCCATCGGAAGGAGGTAAATTATTTAATACTTATTGAAAATTTCAGTTTTCACAGCTTGATGGAATAAGGAAAATATATATATATATATATATATATATTTCCTCTTCTACATATCAATTCAAGGCTCCATTAATTCAAACTCTGATTTCAATTCTTTGATTCTTTGGGTTTTAGGTGCCCATTCAGTCAGTAAAAGGACACTTATTGGAGGAAGGCATTGAAGTAAGGATATAATCATATCTGTTGCGTGTTGATTAGGCGCTTGAAATTTTGTTCCTAAAATCAGGAGTAGGTAAATATATGCAAACTTTAAATCGTATCTCTTTTGTATGTTTATTGCATTTTTGCAGTTTTGGGAGTGACTCCAAAATGAATGTAGTCATCATGAGTTAGGCTTGATTTGGATTCAAACGTATCCCCGGTGGGGTACGTTTTCCATGAAAATTTGTGCAGATCGCACCGAGCATCAGTTTGGATGTTTAAGGTATGGTGTGAAAATCTGCCTTTTTTTCATTGGTTGTTTTGGGTCCTGTGATCCAACGTTGGATTGTTTTAGTTTTCTTTTAACTTTTTACCATTTTTAACATATAAATTTTGATCTAATGTTTTTAATAATCATTTCTCTTCTTATCATAATTCAATTCATTATCGCAACATTGTCATTATATTTATATCTAAATACATATTTTCATCGTTAATATTAATCTTACCATTACAATAATAAATCTCATTTTTGTCATTGTCTCAATTTTTTCGGAATCAATTTTATCTTCATTCAAATGGATTATTAGGAAATAATTTGGATTCTTGGGAAATTTTTGAGTGAACCATCCATTGGATCGGTAATTTTGAATGTTATGTTAAACAGTTACTTTAAAAGTTCAAAAAAAAAAAAAAAAAAAGGTTTACATCCATTATTGTCCTTTGATTCCCCTCTGCCAGCCTTCTCTCTTTTTTCGTAAGCCTCGCATTTTTTTTCCCAAGGCTGCAATTATTTGTACTAAAAGAAAACTAGTTTTTCTGACATTCATCAACTTGAAAGCATTTGCTCCTAAACAGCCAAGGACTTAATATTAGTTGCAAATAAACTGATTTTCATGGCCTTAATCTTTGGAGAATGCAGAGTAATATACCTTAGAATTAGAGTTTTGCTGCAATTTTTGAAGAAACCAGAAATTTTAGTCATATTTCATTTTGGGTGTTAGAGATTAATTTTTGTGAGATTAAAAATATCAATAAAAATTATTATAATTGTAATTAAAAAAATTTTAATAAAAAATTTATATTAAATGAATTTTATTGAAGTTGGTATTTGGATTCAATTGGACGTTAAGTGCAATTGCACCATATAAAAAATGTGATAAAATTCAAACCTAATGGTATTCTTTAGCCCATTCATAAACAGATTAGCAAAAGTCTCCATTTCACGCTTCTTTTCAAGGCCAAACCTAATCACAGCTACCCCACTCAGATATAGCCACTTTCGGCTTTCTGCTTTGGCAAGGAAGATGGATCTAAGCTTAGAAAGATGGGAGTTGTTGCTTCTAAAATGAGAATTATGCAGAAAATTGTAGGGAGAGGAAACTAGTCCGTGATCGTTAACAATGAAAGCATTTACATTTTTCCCTTTTGTGATTTTTTTCTAATAGAAGGAAAAATTCCTTATAATTTATCACTTGCTTCTTATACAAACAAACAAGATACTGTTGCCTAAGAGGATATATCAGATAAACAAGATCTCTGTTTTCATATTTCCACTTAATAGATAAAATGCTGACAATGATTGAAAACCAAAATTACCAATAATATGTAACATTCTTACCAAATCAAAATTCGGAGTTTGATGAATAAAAAATTAGTTCAATTGATTTATATATTCATTAATATTTAACAGATAAAAATAAAAGGTTCGAATTTCAACATTTATAACATCTTCTTCTATTTTCAAATTGCAATTTCTTTTATATTAAAAAAAAAAGAAATTGGACTATGCTCCACCGAAATCCAAAATACCATCAAGTCACAAGACCATCCACTAGCCATTGCTTTGTCCAATGCTGACAATAATATGACAAGGTGAAGGAAAAAATCCAATTATGACTGCAACAGCAACTTTCTATTAAGGTGACTCATGTCACCGTTTTTTTTGTCCTCAACTTGTTATGAGAAGGAAGAAAAATTCAACCATGGCTCTGATAAAGATAAGCTATAATGACTTTATCCACTCAAATTGCTCTCAAATTTTTGGTTTACAATGACACGTTTAGGTAAGTTGCATTTATGGCTATTGCTTCATTTTTACTGCATGTAACTCAAATTGGTAAACATAAGACTTTGAGCTTTTTCTTTTTCCTTACTCTTTTAATAAAATGGAAGATGATTTGTTTTATTTCTTTTCTTTTTTTTTTATTATTTCTTAACAGTATATCTACCAATAAACATGTTGCATGTAGAGAAGAGTCCATTTGAAAAATGATTATAAAGAGACTGAAAGAGCACTGGTATGCCTGTATGAATGATTGAGAGGAGAAATAGAACACAAAGAACAACAATATTTACTAGCTAAGATCATGGCTGCTAGGAGGCTCTCTTCTCTGCTTTCTCTTTCTTCTTCTGCTGCTACTGGTGCTACTGCAACTTCTTTAGGTACTTTTGGTTATACTGATCTCTCTCTGAAGTGAATGCTTTATTTTTTCTGGTGAGCTTTTTCAAGCAGGAAATTTAGTCAATGAAGCTATTATAATTAGGCTCCTTGGGTTGAGCTTCATGTTAATTTCTTGGGACAAAACCTGGGAAAACATCTGAACCACAATTCTTTTTTCTTGTTCTTTTTTCTTTCCTTCCCATGTTTCACTTTTCCTACAGTGACTTTGCTATATAGTCTAAATTATACATATGTTTTCTTTTTTGGTAGCATGTTTTAGATCACAAATTTCTGACCCCTTTTCTCACTTTCCACTAGTATAATAACAAAGTTTTAGTATTCCAGCTGAAATTCTGTTCCATGTTGAACAGAACTTTTTTCTTCTAAGATTGATAGCTTTAATAAAAAGTTATCACTAAAATACCTACATTCAATTTCATTTTTTCCAACCATTATTTTGATTTAATGAGTAAAAACAATTTTGGTTCTTTTCATCTTGCTTGAGGAGTCTGAATCACGTTTGACTAATAGGTTGAAAATAAAATATCAATGATGTAATGCAGGACGATTTTCAAGGTGGGGAAGAAGAATTAATAGCTTGAGTACCTCTTCTGCAATTGATGAACCTATCAGTCCATCTATTCAAATAGATCATACTCAGCTTCTCATCAATGGACAGTTTGTGGATGCTGCATCAGGTTAGACCTCTCCTAATTTGATAGTATTTTCTTGTGTATATAAATATATACCTACAAGTCATATTGTAACAATATGTAATCATTTTGTTTCTTAACTTCAAATTTGCATTCAAGGAGAAGCAGAAATGCAATGGAACTAATCGATGAAAATTTTCTGGCTTTAGGAAAAACCTTCCCTACACTCGATCCTAGGACAGGAGATGTAATTGCCCAAGTTGCAGAAGGGGATGCTGAAGATGTCAATCGTGCAGTTGCTGCAGCTCGCAAAGCATTTGACGAAGGGCCATGGCCTAAGATGACTGCTTATGTAACATCTGCTTTTCTTTTGCATACTTCCTTTCTTTCTTCTGTACCCACATTGTTTACTTTACTCAGTTTGTTGTTCTCTTCATAACATGGTTGAAAATGATCAATCCCAATGTGTATGAGAATTTTACCTGATTCCTATTGTGAATATGGATAGGAAAGATCACGTATAATGTTGCGTTTTGCTGATTTGCTTGAAAAACACACTGAAGAGGTAGCAGCACTTGAAACTTGGGATAATGGGAAGCCTTATGAGCAAGCTGCTAATACTGAGATACCAAAGGTTGTGCGCATGTTTCGATATTATGCTGGTAGGTGAATCTAAAAAGTATAACTCACTTCCTTTTGTTATATTGCCTTTATAATGTTGTTACTTGGGTCAGAATCTTAAAGCTTTTTCCCATATTCTTCAGGCTGGGCAGACAAGATTCACGGACTCACTGTTCCAGCTGATGGACAGCATCATGTCCAGACACTGCATGAACCATATGGTGTAACTGGTCTGATTATTCCATGGAATTTTCCTCTTCTATTGTATTCTTGGAAAGTTGGTCCTGCTTTAGCTTGTGGTAACACAGTTGTCCTGAAGACAGCAGAGCAGACACCATTGTCTGCTCTCTATGTTTCCAAGCTTTTTCATGAGGTATGTTGCTTCTATATTTTCTTTGTGTCTGATTTGTTATTCATTCATCCCATGGTTCTTGCTTTTGATATGGTCTGCTCATGTACATTGAGACATTCTTCTTTACATTCTGACTAACACCACAATTTGTGGATTTTTCTGTGTTTTGAAATCATAAGCCGTAAAGCTGACGATGACAAAAGAAGAATTTGATGCCATTTCTTTTTTCTAATGTAATGATCTTGAATGCATTCCGCCTGTCAGGCTGGCCTTCCTCCTGGTGTTCTGAATGTGGTCTCTGGTTTTGGTCCTACAGCTGGTGCAGCACTTTCTAGTCACATGGACGTCAACAAGGTATTGTACAAATTCTGGATTCTGTTTTTGAATTTTGATAGGGGTTTGTCTTAGCTGTATAAGGATAAATTTTGTTTTTCTCCGTATCTGTTTCCTGTTTATTGTGAGATCAGAACTTTATTTGACCAGGCATGCAGAAGAAGTGAAGCCATAGAAAATTTTATCTAAACAGTTTGTGTTTGCAGCTCTCATTCACAGGTTCCACTGCGACAGGTAAGATTGTACTTGGACTGGCTGCAAAGAGCAATCTCAAACCGGTAACATTGGAACTTGGAGGAAAATCCCCCTTCATTGTTTGTAAGGATGCTGACGTTGAAAAGGCTGTTGAGCTTGCACATTCTGCCTTGTTCTTTAATCAGGTTTGTTTTTCATTCAAATCCAATAATATAAACCAATAGGATATGAACAATTTTTTTCAAAAGTGGACTTTTCTAATTGAAGTCATACCATTACATCTATCTGCAGGGTCAGTGTTGTTGTGCTGGTTCTCGCACTTTTGTGCACGAAAGTGTGTATGACGAGTTTGTAGAGAAAGCAAAGGCTCAAGCACTGAAACGTGTAGTTGGGGATCCTTTCAAGAAGGGAATCCAACAAGGCCCTCAGGTGAGAAGCAGGACCCTCCTCTCCAGTAACACCATCCAAATTGGGGGCTTCCTGCTTTGTTATTCTTAGATTAATAGGAAAAAAGTAAACCATACCTATTAATAATATAGAAAATTTGCAGTTTTGCATGAAATGAAAGTTAAGCAAAGTTTCATTGCTTTGCCTTCTTCCAGTGAATTTAGTATACAGAATTACACATGTGCCAACCTTATATTCAAATTTATTTTATCATTAAGTGAGGATTGCTGACCCAAAATCAAACACATCATATATGAGAAACTGAATATTTTGTTGCTTTTCTTATAATTTAGATTGATAATGAGCAATTCCGGAAGATCCTCAAGTACATAAGGTCAGGCATTGAAAGTGGAGCTACTCTTGAATCTGGAGGTGAACAACTTGGCTCCAAAGGCTACTATATTCAACCCACTGTTTTCTCCAATGTTCAGGTATCAGTATCAGCACCGCTACTACCGTAATTTTGGTAAAGATGTTGATAATCTTTTCTTTGTTTTTATTTGTGAAAGTATCATGCTAATATGATTTCCATTCTTAAACCAATCAGGATGACATGTTGATAGCCAAAGATGAGATATTTGGTCCAGTACAGTCCATCTTAAAGTTCAAGTAAGCCATTAATAGTAGTTATTACAAGTTTCTTTGAGGTTCTTGGGTTGCTTGGGCCCTTATTCATGGCTTTGATTTACAATAGGGATCTTGAGGAGGTGATTCAAAGGGCAAATGCAACTTCCTATGGACTGGCTGCTGGTGTTTTTACTCAGAATATCGAAACTGCCAACATCTTGACTCGTGCATTGCGAGTAGGGACAGTATGGATTAACTGCTATGATATATTTGATGCTGCAATTCCTTTTGGTGGGTTCAAGATGAGTGGGCAAGGAAGAGAGAAAGGAATCTATGGCCTTTCTAGTTACATGCAAGTTAAGGCTGTTGTCACTCCTTTAAAGAATCCAGCATGGTTGTAATTTTTTCTCACAAATCGCCATCTTCTAATATCTACACTTGAGCAGAGAAGGCATTGGTTTTGATTGCAGCTTGTTTTTGCAATGAATAATTAATCCTTCTCTCACAATGTATCTGCCAGATGCTTGGACACCATGTTTAAATCTATGTAAACTTAAGAACTGCAAACAATCTTGAGGACACAATATCCACTGCCCTTGTCTAACTCCCAAAAAGATAGCTTTCATTTCTCAAAATTGGAAAAAGAATTCATCAATAGCTGTAAAAGAGTTCAGTGGAAATTTATGAATGTTAAACCTATTAGCTCTAGAAAAGAAGCTTCATGCTTTTCTGGTCAATCAAGGATTTGCAGATTTCCACTTTCTTTTGGAGCTAGTTTATTAGCTGTCTAAGCCTGGTTAATCTAATATGAATTTGTATTATTAGGTACTAGAAATGGTATCAATTACTATATATAACATAAAAAATTCTTTGAATTCGATATTCTCCTTTATACCTATAAGATTAATTCAAAACTTTTCTACTAAGTAGTAGAATGTTGGTCTGGTGTAGCTTCTGGAGTAGTAGAGGCTCTCTCCCTTGTTGATATGTCAAGGGCCTTCTCTAATTTCACAACAACTTGCTCCATAGATGGTCGTTGTGTTTGGCTGATGTGCATGAGAGAGCCAGCTGAAATGTGAGGTCAAAAGCTTCTATTGAGTATTCCTCTTCAACTTTAGGATCTGCAAATTCTCGTATACTTCCACCTCTACTCCGAACTCTAGCCTGGGAAGTAGAAACATTGGTGGTTAAATATTAGAGCCAATGCTCATATCAACCTGGAGTTCAAAAAAGAAACAAAACAGGATGGTTTCTGGGCATTTTATTTAATGGCATTGGTTTTCTCAGATTCAAATTGAAAACCTTCTTACCAGAGAGGATTTGTAGTAGTACAATTCCAAAGCTGTAGACATCACCTGACGAATTTACTTCGCGGTTGTTTTGGTACTCAGGATCAACATAACCAAAAGTTCCTCTGACTTCTGAGCTCACTTGAGTTTCACCCAGGTCAATGAGCTTAGATAACCCAAAGTCTGAGAGCTTGGCTTCGAAGTTTGGTCCCAGGAGAATTTTTGATGGCTGCGAGACAGACAGAAACCTTACTTGATTGGCTTTACACACAAACTATAAGCAGCAGTCTTGTGCTACATATTAGTTTCGAAACTATAGATAGTATACATTGACAGGTTTCATTTATTACAGAAATACTAATATGCCATGGAGACATACTAGATATTTCATTTTCACAGAGATTATTTTCAGACAGACCTTGATATCGCGATGAACTATGCAGCCTTCTGAATGTGTGTGAAGAAACCAAAGACCTCGAGCACAACCAATTGCAATCTCAAGCTTTTGGATCCAGGAAGGTACCTTGTCCTTGCCTGCTGTCAATCATATTTGATTCATTGTCCTTGAAATCATGACATGGAAGTAACATAACAGAAACTTAAGATAGAGGAATACAGAAAAGCCACCTTGTAAGATTTCCGTTGGGGCATAGTTCATATATGAGGAAGCAGTCTTCACTTAAACAGTAACCAAGCAGAGTCACAAGGTTTGGATGTTTGATGCGAGATAAACTTGTAACTTCCCTCACAAAAGTCTCCACATTTCCATCATTTATGATGTGTTTTACTGCTACATGCTGTTGATTTGACAATATCCTTTTGTACACCTTTCCTGATATAATAATAAACAAAAATTATTGAACTATTGATGATATTCTGAGATGCAAGTCTGATAAGCTTCTCAATCTGTGTTGTTCCTTCACTAAGTTTTAAACAAAGCAAGATTTGTATGTTTTTCACCATATTTGCAGATGTCAATATCATAGCATATTTTACCCGAGCACGATATTTGATCAAAGTCAAGTTTCAAACAAGGTTTTTAGACACATATGGAATAATTATATTCCTTTATACTTCTTGGTATTTATTTTTATTGGTAGATACAAGAAAGTCTATGTGCTGAAGTTTGCGAACTCCGGTTTATGTGGATAAATATTTTCGTATGTGCTGGAAGAAAATGTTTGTCTTAGTCTCTCAAACTGGACATGATTCCAATCGAGATAAACTATGGTCATAAAAAACATTAAAATGGGAAAAAAAATAACACAATATCTTAGAGCACTCAAGTTGGCATCTAACCACAGCAAGCATCGATACATGAGCATACCATTATGCTGGAAATGGAAGATTCTGCAATGATTGAAAACGGGTATAATTGAGATAAAACTCCAAAGATCAGATTACATGATCAAGTGGTTTGATTATTTATAGATGTGAGGTTCAACAATTTCAAAATGTGTCTTTATGCACGTTATTTGCTGTTCTTTCTTGACATGGGAAGAAACCAGGTTCTTTCTCCTGCTGCATTATTCATATACTTACCAGCAGTTCCTTCACCAATGAAATTTGATTCATCCAGACTGTTTGTAGCAGAATATACCTCCCTGATTGGAAATTTGGGACAACCTGGCTTCTTCAATAACACTTCCTTAAATGCTACAAAAAGAAAAAACAAACAGAATTAGTATAAATATGTTCAATGCTGTACCTATGCAAAACTTAGGGCCTTGTACAGATGAAATGTTGCTGGAACATACCATGTTTTTTGGATGGTGGCTTTGATCTACGACATCTTTTGGACAAGATGCAAATTATAATAACTATTATCACAAGAAACCCGACAAGGCTTCCAATCAGAATCCAAATATCTGTTTTAGTGTAGAACTTTCAATAAGTACATATCATCAAATCTTTCATATTTTAGAATTGTGTTCATATACAATAACAAATGGACTATTACCTGTTCTAATTTTTGCCTTCCTTTTATACTCTGGTGGTGATTCATCATTCTCTGCCAAGAAAAATGAAATTTCTGAGAAATCATTCTATTGAAATTAGAGAATTTCAGTTGACATTGAATCTGATGAGATATGTTACCGGCATAAGCATTGGTTTTCTGTGAAAGGCATTTATAAATTCTTTCAATATTCTCATCTCCTATCCTGCTACTTGTTAATGAAACCAGCACTGCAAACCTACAAATCATGGATTCTGCATCTGTCAAATGTGTTCCTCCTATGTCTTTCCAGGTCCTAAAACAAGAACCACAAGATTCATCCAGTTCATCAGAGTTCAAAATTTTGCAATTTTCACTTAAACTTCTCAATTCATCTCCCAGTTTATTAGCAACATCAGCTACTGAGTAATCAGAACATCCACCGGCACCTCTTGTTAGCTTCTCAATCCCACAAGTAAAAACATCTTCTTCATATCTCTTCATTGAATCCAAACAACTTGTCTGCCCACTAAAATTTAAGAATATCAGCCCTGTTTTATTTGCCCTCAGCCCCAATGCATCGAGGTAGCCAGGGAATGCTTCTCCACAGCAGTTTTTGTTAAGAAATCCACCCCAATCACCCCCTTCACAGCTTGAACTTGAGGATGGTGCAAACTCAAACTCAAGGCTGCAGTTTGTTGTGGAAGGTTGGGAAACTGCAACTTTGGCAGTGGTGATCAAGATGGAGATGCAGATAATAGGAACTGGTTTTGGGTACTTGTCCCAATGCCAGTTGCACAAATACATACTGCAATTGCAGGTCATATCTAGACCTATCAACAAGATCGACCGGTTTCTAGGCAACAACTTGATTTGCAGAGATGAGAGTTCACAGCTATGAAAATGCTAGGAAGAACACAACTAAGAAATGCATAAGAGGTGAACTTGGCATACTAGAAAATAGTAAATAATGATTTCTTCTTCTGCCTTTGGTTAGTAAAAACTGCATCAAGTGTGCAGTGGATTCGGAAGTTTAATGAAGCATGGACATTGAAAACCTTGATTTTTTTCTGGTTCAACTTCTGCTAAGATGAGAGAAGATGTGGCTGCACAAAGAAACAACAATGAACACATTTAGACAGACATAAGAAAGGGCAGAAAATGGTTGCTCATATTACAGCATGGAAAAGTCTTCTTCCCCTCACTACAACTCAATTTAAAGTATATTCAGGATTCTTTGGCATTTGATTTCAGTTGTTTGAAGAACAATTTCAGCAGAAAAAGGATGACATAAATAAACTAATAGCATTGTTTTACCATCCAATTTCAGAAAGTATTGATGCCGGCGTAGGCACTAAATCTTAAGCAGAAAAGGGTCATTTTGCTTTACTTTTTATGCTGACAGATACATTTACAGATATTCTTCCAAAGGACAAGACAAAACTAGCTAGCCTGAGAAATGACAGCCTCCTTGACAGTTAATGATGGTTTTACAATTTTACTTGATGAGGTCTAACAAAATTTCTAGCAAGACATTCCAAGGAATAATAGTTTGAATTACAACCATGATTCTTGTCCAAAAACAGCATACAGTTTTAAATGTATGCATGCCAAGATTTGTACATAATTCATGATTGTAGCATAAATGTCCATTCACATAAACCTGATATATAGGCCTTTGAAGCTACCATTTGGAACTTGTTAGATGTCCAATCACATGCATGAATTCAATAACAGCCAATTCAGACATACACATCAACATGCCTCAATGAAAACCAGTTCAAAAAACCACTTACAAAAGGTGATCCAGATATGATTTAAGTTCAGCTATCTTTAACTCTTTCATTAGGTGTTACTAGTTTTTACAAACCAAATCTTGGTCGAATCCAAATCCAACTTCCAAAGAAGTAAGGGAACCGATCGGTTAAACCCAGACTCAAAGAGAACAATTTTAGTAGTTGAGCCAAAACTTATAATAATAATAATAGCTAATAATTGTTCTTACTTCTTACATTTCATATGCCTACAACAGAATTGTGAGCATGAGGCCATGAATGTGGAACCAACCAAAAAATTTAGATGTTGATTTTATCTCCATAGAGGTTTATTATTTTAGATTCTTCTACATTGTTAGTTATATATATATATATATAACTGCCATTGTCAATTTGTCGTCGTTACCTCATTGTAAACCATAGTTTGATAGTAATAAAAAAATGTAAAAAGAAAAAAAACCTAGGGATCCAACCGAGAACCATTGTATAAATTTGAAGTACTTTTTGTACCTCAATTAAATTTGGTAATATGTGTATTTATATTATATTTTATAAAAAAAATTATATGTTATAATTCTTGTCGACATAAAAATATAAAATATATTTTTTATTTTATTAAACTTATTTATAATTTAAAATTTTAATTAAAATTACCTCAAAT